CCCCCCACCAGGGGCTTTGAGCTGCTTCCACGGCGCCTTGACCAGGGTCTCCCAGTTGGGCTCCTCCTCCTTTAGCCTCAGCTTAATGTGCTTCCTGGGCAGGGATCTGATTTGGGGGTCTGGTTCTCCTGCGGATTTTATTTTCCTCCCGTTCCCCTCTCTTACCTCACTGAAGGAGGTCTCTTGGCCAGAAATGTGGCGCAGGTCTGTTTCACAAGCCAGGTTTATTTGCCTTGTGGGTCACACCAGATTGTGTGTTTAGGTGGCCTCACTCTGCGAGAGGAAGTCCTCCTCCCAGCCATTGCATTTAAAGCACGGTCAGACCCACCCCATTTCACACAGAAGCCACTGCAGATGACAAAACAGGAATGCCCGGTCTGTGCCCACCACCCTCACCCGCTTGGATTCCGCCAGGGAGGGCCCCGAGGCCTTGAGCCCAGCCACATGCCCTGGAGGAGGGGAGGCTGCCGATTATCTGGGCAGAATAGGCAACCCTCCGTCCCGCGTTTGCAAGCCCTCCAACCAGGATTGTTGGTGGCTTCCTTCCAGTGCGAGCTTGGGAATACAGGAAAACTGCAGGGCAAGTCACGGTTAAAAAGACAAAACCCTCAAATGCCTTGAAGTTGCCCCACCCGGAAGTGCGATTGTCCCCACCCAGCCAGTTTGCAGCTCACAGCTCTCCTCTAGTATTAAGCAACATGTTTTGCACATGCGCGCACGCACACACACGTGGTTTCCGTAGGCTGATGCACAGAATGGAAACTTTCCTCCAGCCCTGTTTGGACTGGCTGGCTGGGACTTCCTGGAACTGCAGATTCAGGAGGGTGGGGTCCAGGTCCAGCCTCTGTCCCGAGACCCCCAAGCCCCACCCCGCCCCACAGCTCCCGTCTGGGATGCTCCCATGCTGCAATGGATGCCACTGCACTGAGCGGGCAAATTGAGGCTTTTTCCTTGCACAGAGAGCTTTTGTAGAGAAAACAGGTTCCCCCTGCAGCAGGAGAAACAGCGGCTTATGGCATTTCTTTACTTGCTTACTGTATTTAGCACATCCCCATGAGCAGCGTTTTGAATGGGCAGCATAAAAGCACGCAAGGCCATTTGAAACCATGAAGTAAGTTCTGCAAGAAACACTAAACAGCCAATCAGTATTAAAGAGGGGGAAAGCATTAGGAAAACGTAATTGTCTAAACCAGGGTTTCTCAACCTCAGCGGCTTTAAGATGGGTGGACTTCAACTCCCAGAATTCCCCAAAGCCGCTGAGGTTGAGAAACCCTGGTCTAAACGTTTCTGAGGATAAGACAGTCCCATTAAAACAGCAGGCTGCGGGAGTGAAAACGGCCCTGCGCAGCCGCTCTCCCGGCCAGAATCCCTGCTCTGCAGCCGGCCCAGCTCTCTCAGCCCCTTTTCCGCCAGAGATGCACTTGGCCAGTTCTTCGTTCTTTCCTGCTCTTTGGCCAGACCCCTCGACACACTGCTCTCCTACCGGCCCAACTTCTCTATTCCGTCCACCTTCATTCAGCACCCATTTGCTCATTCTGGCTGATCTCCTCTTCTTCCATCGGACAAGTTTCTTTAGAAACCGTCCCCACAGCGTTCGATTCGCTTTTATGCATCTTCGGACAGACCCAGTTCTGTGGCATCCGTGGGGTCCTCTGAGCTTGGTTGTTTGCTTGCAAACGTTTTGTTACCCGGCTAGGTCACATCTCCAACGCTAGAATGGAGTGAGGTTTGCTCTCTGATGTGACCTAGCCGGGTAACGAAATGTTTGCAAGAAAACAACCAAGCTCAGAGAACCCCAAGGACACCACAGTTCAACCCTGAGCTACGTATATTTTCTATTGAGACCCGGTTCTCCCTTCCGTGTAAAACATGGTCAGCCCGTTAGTATTATTCGCCTCCCCTGAGCTACTTTTGAGAAACTTTAATTTTTTGAGACTGACCACATCCTACGTACTCCTATTCCGTGCATGTTGTCGAACCATTCACTAAGCATCGACTTTATTCTCACACTCACAAAATTCCTCCATACGTGCCTCTTTTCCCATTCTGCAACCAAGCTTCAGCCCCATTTCCACACAACGTTCCATAATCCAAACCTTCCTCAAAATCAGCCAACGTGCAGTAAACTTTCTCACGTTCATACATTTCTCAATGGCCTGTTGAAGAGCAAAATCCCTGCCCAGCATGAAGCTACACTGCGTAGACCTGGGCTCCTGTGGGAGAGAAAGAAGGGAACGTGCCAAGGCATCCACTCCTTCCCGCTTGGAAGTGGGAAACTGAGCTCAGCAAAGGGCCCCAAAGTGCCAGAGGCAGCTCCCTGGAGGCAGGGTGGCGTTGGCGTCTGCGTCCCTCTGAGCGAACAAGATCCTGATTCTCTTGAGGCCCCTTCTTGTGGCGCGAGTCGGCTGGAAGGCAGACCATCCTCCCGGCCCAGAACAAACCTTGCCTTGCTCCTCTTAATCAGGACAAGGCCCTCTGGCTCTGTTTCCTGGGGCCTCATGCGACCCTTCCCTTCCCTCCCCTCCCCAGCAACAGGACATTTGCATCGTGGCGTCACCTCCGGGAGCCGTTTGAAGCCGGTTTGCAAGCCGTGGTTAAAGCTAGTCCTGCTGCTGTTGACCTCAGCGCTGTGGGAAGGAGTGACGCGGAAGGGAACCGAGTTAGGCGATGGAACTGCAGTCCCCAGCGAGGGCCAGCTGAAGTTACTCCAAAGGCGGGGGGACATGCTTCTGGCCATCGGGCTCTCAAGTTTACATCTCTTGCCCCCTTTCATCAGAATTCTGCCAAGCACCTTCCCTGTCGTTCATGCGTTCCCTCTCGCCCCCCGTTCCTTCATGTTGGAGAAGGAGAACAGCGTTCTTCCAATGGTCGGGCGCAGACGTAGCCTTCACGTGCCCTGTAAGCAAGACCCGGCTGCTCCACACGCGAACCTCCTCCGTGTTTTAATACGTCTCCGCTGACACCGTCCGTGGCTGCGGCTGTTCTGCCAGAGACTCCCTGTTTAGCCCTCTTCATCCACTTCCAGAACGATTTTACTTTGCTCTACCTCTTTTTAAGTGTTGGTCTCCTCGACCACTTTCCACACTTTATCTGACACCTTTGTTGAACAGACCACTGGACAGTCCAGCTTCTCCTTGGGCCTAAATCTGCGTTCTTCTTCCATGAAATAGGTAAAGGTCTTCTGGTGCCATAAGGAGGCCTGGTTGATAAAGCCGTCAGGGCGTGAGGCGTTTCGGCCAAAGGAGCATCAAGGGTTGCTTTCTCACCAGAGCGGGGTGTGCGCGTAACTCTTTCCTGCCCCCTTTCCTGTGACTGCGGCATCTTCTGGCTGACACCCCCTCCCCATTTTCTTCTCTCGGTTTTCTATTGTGATCCTGTCTTTTAATCTGCATCTTTATCTGCGTTCTGTTACATACATTGCGGGCCACCCCGGTTGCCTTCAAAGTAGAGGTCAATTCCAAGTCAGTTCCAGCCAAACCCAGAATTTGTGGAACGATCGCTAGCAGACCGGAGATTTTGCTGGTGTGCAGATGTACTGGGGTTCTGTGCTTGTGAAACCCGCAGCTGCGCGAAGCCTTTCTGCAGAATCGCAGCTTTTCTGGGTAAAAAGTGCCAGATAACACCATCTTATTTAATCCAGACAGCTCTGCAGCTGCTGTTGAGGTTTCTGGTGCCCTGGAAGTTTTAGAAGCATCAGTCTGTCAAGAGTAACTTTATGTAACTAAAGAAAGTGATGAAATGCAAAGAGCTGAGAATGGCACGGTAGTGGTGAGCCTTGGGGGGTAGAAGGACCTGGGTTCAGCCCCTCTAATTAAGGGTCTCAGGCAGTGGCGTTGAGAGGAGACCCCCTGGAGGTGCAGGGAAATGGGGACAGGGCGGCACGAGAGACCTATCTGACCTCGGGAGGACACATACTGTCACCATGAGAAATGCCCTGCTCTGTGGGGGTGGGGGCGTGAGTCCTTTAAGGGGCAACTCTTCCTAAGGGAGCGGTCTAGCGGCATTTGACCAACACCCATCTTGAGAAGATGGTCTCAGGCTCTCTGTGGAGTGTCCCAAGTCTCAGCCCCGCCATTCCTCACCTGACGTGTCAGGAGCGCAGCTACGCCGGTGAGGAGGTCCAGAGGTGCTCTCCTATCATGTCTGGTGGGACCCAAGTTAGGGATGGCAGATCTCGCCTCTCCAGGAGGATTTTCGTCTTCCCGTCCTGTCCTACCAGAAGAAAGAGGTCCTCGGTGCCAGTCTTGATGTATTGGCCAAAGTTTCTCACTTCTTTTGGCCTGTTCTGGACTACAAACCAGATATTGTAGATTCCTTCAGGAGCAGGGTAGACTTGGTTGTTCCAAGGTATTCCTGGCGTGGGATTTCCTGGAAGGGAAACAGCTTTGAGGTGGATTCTAGAGTCCTGGCGTGTTCTTGCCGCAGCATCTCCTGGCCTGGAAGTTCTCGTCACTTCTGGGCAGTCTTTCCCCACCGGTGGGGGCAACGGAGAGGGCACCCTTTGCGGGTCGCTGCCTCTTCCAGGAGCCCCATCGCGCCAGTTCTGGGAGCGGCCGGAGAGGTCCGAGGGGAGAAAGGCAGAGGCGCGTCGGTGCTGGTGGCAGGATCTCATCTCCTTTTGTCTTGTTTAGGTTTCTCCTCTGCCTCCTACTTAAAGGTCCATGTTAAAACCCACCACGGTGTTCCCCTTCCCCAGGTCTCCAGGCACCCGGAGCCCATTCCGAATGGGGGAGCGGCGTTCCACAGCGTCAGGACCTATGGCATCAAAGGCAAGCGACCCCTCCCCCGATCGTGGCGTAGGACTGTGGCGGGGGAGGGG